TAACATTTTATATTTATAAACACATATATATGTATATATATACACTTATATATTATATGTGTTAAATACTAAATTTATTACTACACAAATAAAGAAAATTATATATTATAAATACAATATAATTTTTATTTAGTTTTTTCACATAGGTAAATTGAAATTTTTCTTTTTAATGTAAGTTTATCCTTTCTGCTACTACAATTAAATTAAGCAAATCCTAGATATAATCAAACATAAATATAATATATAAAAGAAATAATATTTAACTAAATTTTCCAATTTTGTTTAATATTTTTGCTAAATGTTTAACCTTGCATTAATTTGTTTACTTTCTGTTTCCCTTTTTTCTCCCCTGCTTCCGATATTTACACTGCACAATTTACTTTATTTTATTTCTAAGCACTCTGCTTTTCCTATGTTTTCCTTTTTCTTGTTGTTCTGCAGATGCTCAGGGGGGTGTGTGTGTGTGAGTCATTGATTCGATGAGCGTGTGTGTGTGTGTTTGTGAGTTGCTTTAAATTGCTATTTATAAACCCAAGCAACAGCTTCGTCTTCTTCGTTCTCATTCTCAGTCTCAATTGGGTTTGTTTTTAGTGTTTTCAGTTGCTCTCTTTTTTCTACTCTCTCTCTCTCCCGCTCATTCATCCGTTTGCAATGTGTGTGTGTGTGTGAACACACACACTAGTGCACGGGGGGACCGGCGCACGTGGTAGCGAAACGTGATAACGCAAAATACAACAACTGGCAACAAAACAAACAGAAAACCTGACAACGTCAGGCGTCGCTGTTGCCGCCGACTTCGCAGTCGCCAGGCGACGCCGGCAGAGCGTCAGCTGAGCAACTGCAATAGTTGGATTTTTGCGATTGGTTCCCTAGAATTTGATGGCTCGGCATATAAGCCCGGCCAATGGCGCTTGCCGACAGCACATCCTTCTGCCATTGGCAGGTGCCGAAGCCGGAGCCGAAGCTGCAGCCGAAGTTCGTGTCGCTTCGCTTCGGCTCACGAAGTTGCGTCCCGCTGACTTGTTGCTTTTTTGGCACTTCCAGAAATAGCCAACTTTGCACGGCGCCACGGGGCGTATACTCGATATTCGAATGTATCGCCTGGGAAAACAGGTGACCGGCCAGAAGAAAACATGCTTTTGCAGATGTTCCCTCTCCCCCAATTTTGCAGGGGTGGAAAAATTAAATCAAAAAGTAACAAGAAAGGAAGCTAACTTCGGCCCGCCGAAGTTTAAATACCCTTGCAGATAGAAATTCTATGACTAGAAATCCATACCATATAAATTATATATATATGTGTTTTTAAAAACAATGAAGTAATACCTGCTTTTATTTCATTCACCTATACATATTATATTTGCAGCTTTATATTCACAGATTTGTATTTTTCTTCTACATCGAACGATCGTTTGTATGGCACCTATATGATATAGTCGTTTGATTTTCATAAAATTTTACACAAAATTTTAGAATAATATGAAATGGCTATATCTCAAATTTGATTAAATTCTGTTGAAAACTAAAAATGTTATCGCCACCGCGATTGTCAGTCTTCCGACAACAGCCACCGCCATTCTCATTCCTCTCAAATTTCTCGATCGTTCCTATGGGAGCTATATGATATATTAGTGCGATTTTCATAAAATTTTACACAAAATTGTAGAATAATATGAAACGGCTATATCTCAAATTTGATGAAAATCTGTTGAAAACTGAAAATGTTATACTTTTTAATTGAATTAATTTCTCGATCGTTCCTATGGGAGCTATATGATATAGTAGTCCGATTTTCATAAAATTTTACGCAAAATTGTAGAATAATATTTAATGGCTATATCTCAAATTTGATCCAATTCTATAGAGAACTGAAAAAGTTAAAATTTTTTTTGGAAAAATTTTCCGATCATTCCTATGGCAGCTATATGATATAGTCGTCCGATCCGGCCCGTTCCGACATATATACGAGTGAGAGTATATAGAAGGCTAACTACAAAGTTTCATTCAGATAGCTTCAAAACTGAGAGACTAGTTTGCGTAGAAACGGACAGACGGACAGACGGACAGACGGACATGGCTAGATCGACTCGGCTGTTGATCCTGATCAAGAATATATATACTTTATATAGTCGGAGGTGCCTCCTTCACTGCGTTGCAAACTTCTGACTGAAATTATAATACCCTGCAAGGGTATAAAAAGAAAGGGACATGTTTTTCTTTGGTCCGGAAAATGTATAGGTATATTTTTGGGATTTTAGTTGAATTGTTATAACAATATAAACATCAATTTGAAATGTATTTATACAAAAACATGTATAAAGCAAGTACAAATATTTAAAAAGATAAATTTTGGGTAATCTATAAATATATAGACAAAAATATAAAACGATTTTAACTTGTTTTCAAATAGTTTTCTTAAGGTTTTAGGGAAATACCTATAAATCTCTTATTAAATTTGTATCTTTGTGTTTTAAAAAGAAGAATTATTTTTATTTATTTATTAAAATATTTAATTTCTGTTCAACAAATTAAAGTAAAATATTATATCTTGTACATATATGTATGTCCAGATTAATCAAGTATCTATAATAAATATAAGTAATGAGATATTCTTTCCAAAGTCAAGTCGACTACCATTTATAATAAAATCGATTATAAAATTAAACAAAAATCAAAACGATATAAAATATGTAAAATCAATAATAATAATAATATAAGAAATATTAGTCTAAAAATAGTTTATATTTGTATAAAGCTTTATAAAATGTGTCAATCAACTTGTTTTAAAAATACAATTGATTTTACTTTACAACTATTTATTTTATTTATTATTTAACTCACAAGAGTTAAACTAACGTTTAAATAAACAATTCTATGGGAGCTTCATCATATTTTTCCAAGAACATTCTATGACCTACATCAATGTTGAATGCTAATTAAAAATTATGTATAATTATTGCACAAATCTTGGTAATAGTGGGATTCCCCCAAAAAAAAACCAAATAACCCAAGACACAATAACGGACCTAGGCCAACGTGAAATTTATATAAGTTTATTGGTATTATTCCCCACTGAAAATCGTTGGAATTATTTTCAAAATATATATTCTAAGAAAGCACTGCTGCTGCTGCCGCTGTCTGATACTGTGACCTACGCCAATAGTTTAGCAAATATCAAGTATACGCCCCATTGGCAGATACTACGACTTGGGTTTTGGTCTGAGGTGAAGTACCCCCAAGTATCCCCGCCAATAGATCCGCTTACTTGCCATGACGCAGCGCTAATTAGTTGGTGGCACAGAGAAACGATTCTGGCCATATTACGCATACGTCACGTGTTGCAAACGCATCAGTGCCGAATATAACATACATATATAGGGGAATAAGGAAATCAGCCACGCACTTGGCTTAAATTGCGTATATAAATATGATATATAATATATCTGATAAATACACAGACAAATATAGCTTGTTTAACTGTAACAAATGAGAGGCAGACAGTGCGAAGCGACTGGAAACCTTTGAGCCGTATCTGTATCTGTATCTGTATCTGTATCTGTATCTCTATCTGTATCTGTGTCTTTTGAGTACGCTTGCCTGCCGTTCAACGTGCAATTCTCTCCCTCTCTCAATTAATTTTTACCGGCGGGTGTGTGTGTGAGTGTGTGCGCCCGGTGTGTGTCCACAACACGTGCTTAGAACTGCGCTAGACAGTGGGCTTTGGGTCATATTGAAATCCGCGTGACTTTGCCGCCGCAGCGCAGTTGCTGGCGCTGCCGCAGTCCCTTTTTTTGTAAATACACTAGTGATCAAATTAATAGGTGTACTAGCATTTAAAATAATAAGTATATTATTCTATAAAAGTTATAACTTAATGTCTAGAAAGGATCTTAAAGAAACGGTACTGAAGTTAAAAAATGTATATTAATTTCCCCTAAATGCACTTCAGTTGGACACAAATAGTTGTTTTTTGGAGATAGTTATTTATCAAATTATCTAAAATATTTAAAAATAAATTAATTATACTATATTATTAATTAACTAAATAAATAAATACTCAATTCTTTGAATTTCAAAATGAGAATAAATATATTTGTTGATCTTTCCTTTAATAATAAATTATCAAAACCCAATTCTTACTTGATATAAATTTTCTAAAGCTATGATTTTAGTTTTACCATCCTACCCAAGTTCTATTATTTTGAACACAGCTGTATGCAAGTGTATATAAATATTTTTTTATATACAAATAATATTTTGTAGTGGCAGCGTTTGATAAAAAATGTATAAAACCGAAAAACAATTATTAAAGTGGGAGAGGGAGAGCTGGTTATTTTTTTGGCCGCCGCCCTTTACGTAAGGCGACTTACTTGCAGAAAATTGCAATTTTAGCAGGCCAAAAGCAGCGGCGACGCCGAAGCTGGCAGAGCAGCAACTGCGGGTGGGCAGTGACGCCGGCAGAGGCAGCGGAAAACCAGAGACACTGAGACCGAGGAAACTTTGCTCGCCCGGCATTCTGTCGCATCGCGTTCTCATGTGAAAATCGTCGCTGCGCGTTTCGTTCCGAGTTCCTCACTCTCGAGCGGGAAAACCCAATAATATATTTAGCAAAAAGAGCAAAATAAAAACAAATACAACAAATAATTTATAAAATTAATTCAAGTTGAGTTCCCAGAAAAAAGGCGAAAAGTTCTGGAAGAATTTTCAACCGAATATATTTATATTTTTTATTTCCACACCAGTTTCAAGTGCAACAATTGTGAAATCAATCCAGTGTCAGTGTCAGTGTCAGTGTGTGTGTGCCCCATCGAATCGAATATAAAATAGCTACAATAAAAAAGATCACAGAGAGAGAGATAGAACCAGCAGAGAGAACGAGAAAGATTGAGAGCCGGAGATCTCTCAGATATTCTCTGTCCAGCGTCGCCAAAGTTACGGATACAATTTCAAACAGTTTAATTTAATTTTAATTTTACAACTACAATAAAAACAACAAGACCCAGAAAGGAAAAAAGAAAAATCCACCGAAACAACAAAAAACTCAAAGCAAAAAACGATCTCATTTCTAAGCAGCAAACAAATTCTGAGAATAAGAAAAGGTATTCACACCAAAAGGCTGAGAGAAGGAAAAGAATTACAATTCAATTGATTTGGCAAATAATAATGTATTTGTTTTGATTTTATATATGATAATTCTTCAAAATTTCCATCCTGCAATTTTCACAGTATTTAATCAAATGCTAAAACAAACACGTAAAGCCTTTGTCCCGATTAGCGATTCAATTTCTATACAAAGAACGTCACAAAAATCTTATTATTAAAATTAATTGAACTAAAAAGAAAGCGCAAGACTATACAACTATACAATGCCTTTTCTTATTCCTAATCTTCATGATCATCAATTAAAAATAATGGAAACTAAATAGAAATCATACAAAAATAGACGCAAACAAAGTGCATTTCATGACCAAGGAAAAACAAGCGCCAACTAACAACACACACATGCAATTATCTATATCACCGCCATTATCACTATCAGTATCAGTCACTATCAATAATCTATAGACCAGTACTCACCGATCACTTCCTTAAACTGAATCACTCTCAACATTCCCCACGATCGCCACTTCATTAGAAACCACCAATAATTGGCTATCAATTGGAACAAATTGGAAACAAAAACGAGGAGCAACACACTAATCTGGGTTTTCAAATGAAAGCACAATCTTTTCAGATGTGGGCGATTTAAAAAGGGCACAAAAACCCCAACCAAGACTATAAAAAATTTCCATTAAAAACTCAACTCAAGTGAATCAGTGTTCTTTTGTGAGACAATGCGCACAACTTTCGGTCGTGGCCCAAAGTTTATTCTGCTAACAAGCAAATTCAACCACGTTCAACACAAGGAAGTAATTACTTAGGCCCTGGCCATAATCTGAAAACAAAAAACCAAGCCCAGTGAATTAGCAAAACCAGTGAAGTCAGGACCCAGTTAATAAACCAGTGACCATGTCTTCGGATACGAATTCCTGCACCAGCTTCTTCAATCAGGAGCATGCCAATGCCACCTTGTCGCAGTATTTCCATCAGCTCAACTCTCAGGTGGCAGCTGCAGCGGCAACAACCAATAATAACAGCGGAAGTAGTGGCAACAACAGCAGCAGCGGCAACAGTGACAGCGGAAATGATGGTAGCATGACGGGATCGGGATCAGGATCAGGATCAGGATCTTCGGGATCAACCATGGACAACCATCGGAGCAGTGTGAGCAGCAATGATTCGGGCAAGAGTTCGGGCGGCGGTTCCGGTGGAGGATCAGGTGTGACCAACAATAATGTGAATGCCTGGGCCTTGCAGCAGCAACAGCAGACAGCAGCCTTGCACCATCACCAGCAGCAACAGCAGCAGCAACAACAACAGCAGCAGCAACATCAACAGCACTTGCAGCAACAGCAGCAGCAGCATGCACACCAGCAACATGTGGCTGCTGTTATGCAGCAGCAGCAACAGCAACAGCAGCAGCACTCACATCACGCCCAACAGCATGCACAGCAGCAACATCATGGTCATACACTGCATCCGCACCACACACATCAGCAACAACAGCAGCAACAGCAGCAGCAGCAACAACAACAACACCACCACCAACAGCAACATCAGCAGCAACATGCACAGCAGCAACAGCAGCAACATCATGCCGCCCAACTGGCCCACACACTCTCCTCAGCGGCCGCTGCCGCTGCTGCTGGCAATGGTGGCAACAATAATACCAATACACACTCCATCTTTGGCACCGGCAACTTCCACTACAAGACCAACAATTCGTGGACACTGCCCACGTTGACTTATCAGATCTATCAGGAGAATCCCCATTATCAGCGCAACTCCTTTATGGATCCGCAGAGCAATGTGGCTGCCGCCGCTGCAGCTGCAGCAGCAGCTGCTGCAGCCTCTGCTGCTAATGTGGCAAATGGAAACCAGGGAACCAGTGCGAATCCCAGTGGAAATAATAATTCTGCCGTGGCAGGACCCAATCCTGGACAAAATAGTAATAACAACAATAACAATAACAGCGGGAACAACCAGAGTAACAACAACAACAGCAGCAGCAACAACAGTAACAATAATAACAATGTGTCATCCGTGCAACATGTGGCCAATGCCGTGGCAGCAGCCGTCATAGCCAACGAGCATCAAAATCATTTGAACAGCCTCAAGGCGAGGTTTCAACCATCTAGCTCAGGTGAGGTGATGATAAGGAGAGATACTCTATAAAGGTTTAGGGATTCTCTAGAGAAAAATCTGGGTTTAATTTTCGTTAAATACTTTCTCAAAGAATTGAAACTATTATATTTTGGCATTAAATATCTATAAGATTTGCAATAAATATTATTGAATCTCTTACTATTCAATCGGAAAGAAAAATCGTACAAAAAATAAAGGAAAGGATGAGATGAATAGAGCAAAAGAGCAATAAATAGAGCAAGTTCTTTATTTATTCTATTTTTAACAAGAATTTAGTTATCATGAATAAATGTAATGATTAATAAGTAACAACATCTTTATAATTCGGTATTTGAAAGGCAGTGTATCACACAATATGAATAAGATATTAATGAGAAGCCATATATTAAAATTTCTTCAAATTGTGTAGGTCCCAAAATGGGAACTTAGTACAAAATATCTAATTGAAGTCGTAGGAAAAATCTCTTTTAACATAGCAACTACTGTATTTATTCATCCCTTTGTTGACTAATTTGCAACGTAAAAGCTAAAATCGGAAATATGATTGACGCCACCCTTAGAATAATTGCTCGCAAAGGAAACTTTGTAAACAACTGATAAACAGAAAAACTATGACTAGTTCTGTGATTTCTCGCAAATTTTCCCTCCTAAGCCTGTCTTTTGTATTAGAAAATTAGTATTCCATTGTGGAGCAGCGATATGGAGTGTCTGGAAAAAGTTCTGTTCGGAAGACCAAAACGAGCTGATATCATCGGACGTCAGCGGCCGAGAACTTTGCGCAGTTTGAGCTTGAAAAGCGCACAAAAGTCAAGAAAGCTTGTCGCGCACACGTGAGCCGGGCTATATATTATATATATAGTTATATATAAATATATATATATTTGTATAGGGAGTATATTGTATATGCCGCCGACTGACGTCGACCGTTCGAAATTGAATAGGAAACGAAATTCAAATGTATCTGCTGCATGTGTAAATGTATCTTTGCACCGCGGATCGTCAGGTCTATATATATGTATTTAAATATATATTTTGTTATTTGTTTGTTTTTTTTTTTTCGTGTGCAACTTAACTAATCTACCACAAGGGAAATTTGATTTATTTTAGTAATTTGCTTTTGATTATTGAATTGAATTTGAGAGACACAAAAAGGAAAAACTATTTTTGACCTAACTTATACTACTTTTAAAGTTATTAATAACTACAATATCCCTTAAATGTTTATATATCTTTGTATTTAGTGATTCTCTTTGCTACGTTGTAATTTTGTACTAAATTTAATCAAGAAAGAATTCACATTTTTCATGGCAATTTGTACTGGAAAATGATTAGATGTACCTTGAAATTTAACATTTAATATCAATTATAAGGGCAAAAGTGTGTGACATTTAGACCAAAGAGGCTTTTCAATGCTGTTGTTGATTTTCAGTTTCATTTTTTGGCACATCCTTTCACCCTTCTTTTTGATGCATTTTGGCACAAATCTCTTTTGAAAAGCGCGACTAAGCCACCATTTCCCTTTTCTTTTTTTGAATGAAAACTGACCTCAGAGAAAATGCATTTGGCTTGATTAGATTTCGGAATTAGGCTGATGAGATTTTTATGGCAGATGATATGTAAATGCATATGGCAAATGAAATGTGGGTGGTCTTTTGATTGTTGTTTTTCGCTGCCTTTTTTGCTGGGTGAAATTTTCGCTATTGAATATATACTGGAAATGACCTTTTAAAGGCAAAATGAATAATAATTTGTATGAATTTGTTGTGTGTGTGTGAGTGTGTGTATTTGTGTGGGTAGCGGGGAAAGCTAAAATGGATAAATGTCAGTTTGTCGTTGTAGGTGGGCCCCCTCAATCATGGAAAATTTTCCGCCACCCTTGGACAAGCCAAAAATGTTCCTCAATTAATTCTCTCACTTGCGGTGCCTAATTTATTGAACTTGTTAGGTTTTTATACGGTAATTGCTGATTTTATTAGATGATTTATTATATTTTTAACTTTTAAATTCTGTAATAAAATATTGTTACATAATATAATATATTTCATATAATAATAAAATGTTTATCTTTTTGTTTATTTACAGGTAAGCATCGAATACCAAAGTTTATAAATTGCTAAGGCAATTTGTTGTGAATTTAAATGTTTGTGTCTTTTGCATAATATTTAACTGGTAAGCTTGTGTTGTTTTTCATTAACTAACATTAATCATTTAAAGGATATGCATTAAAAAGCTTAAAAGGATAAATAATAAAGCAAATATAATAAAAAAAACTTTAAATATTAAACTTTAGAAGAACATATATATAGAAATGTTGGGCACTTTTTATTTTTCATAATTTATTATAGTATTTTTGCAATCATTCAAATTATTTCAAAAGTTTTTTGTGGCACAATTTTCTTAAGAACAAGTTTATAATTTATTACAGGGTTTATCAATATACAGATGATAATCTGGCTGAAAACGCTAATATTTTTTGTCGCTATAAAAATTAGCACAGAAATGTTTTCCGAAACGAAATTAATGCTTTTTGGCTTAGTTATGAGTTTTTAAAGTATTGATTTGTGTGAAAAATTGTCATATAAAAATATCGTTAAGTATAGATTCAAAGATTGCGAATATCTTAAGCTTAGTCATGATCGATTCCCATATCGATCCTAATAATCCTTCGAAGTTAGTTTTATTTCTTGTTTTTTATTAATTTATTAGTATTTAATATTCAAAATAATTAATATAATTTTTTTTGGGATAAACATGTATATTAATTTTATTTCCAAAACCAGTTTCTCCTATTTTTGTTGTTGTTGTTTTTATTTAAACAAATTACTTTCTCAGGAATTTATTTACATTTGAATAGAAAGATACAAAAAAAAATCCCCGAACTTAAGCTCACAAAAAAGTCACTCAAAGAGGCGCAAGCCGAAAGCTTTTCTCGACTAACCACTCAAAACAACGCTGCGCTGCTACTGCCGGCGTCGACAGCGGAAAAATCAGCTTCCGCATTCGAAAGCAGCAGCGACGTAGCAGCGCGGCTCCCGCCAAGCGTGGCGGCAGCGACGAACTTTGGCAGGCTGCGCGAAAGAAAGTAAACAGGCGGAATGCGCAAAAAAAAAAGAAATAGCAGAGCGAGAGCGAGAGTGAGAGAGATAGAGTGGGGGGGGGCTTTCTGGCTTTCGGTTTCAAGTTTGGCTTTTATTCCACTGTCCGTTGCTTCTTCTCTTTTCCTCTTCCTCTTCTGTGGGTTTCTCTGAGCTGCTGCTGCTGCTGCTGCGCCGCTGCCTTTGGCTCAGCTGCGAAGCTGCGTTGCACGACGCTGGCGACGCGCGCGTTCACTCAACGTTCGCAGTCCGGCGGCACCGGTTCGATTCCACGGGCTCTGCTCCACCAAAAAAAAATACAAACCCAACAAAAATAAAACTAATAAAACCAAAGGCCCAAGGCACATATAAAAAAAAATAACACAAAATATCGCCCATACGACACATGCAAGCAAAGGCCATAAAAATAATACGTATACGACGCGTGTCTTCGTCTTTAGCACCGCGCTTTCGAAACCAAATTCGAATTCGAATTCGAATTCGTGCGAACCTGTGAACTTTCGTTCCTCTTTTTACGAAAATTCGCGGCAAAGGAAGGAGGATCACCGCCCAGCAATTTCCCAGGATTAAAATGTATTTGTGCAGTGAAAGAAATTAAATGATATATAGAGTGAAAATCAAAGAATTTATGTACAAAAATTTATATATGAAATTCAGAGATATATATGAAACATCAAAATAAAAATATATATATGCTGATGAAAGATGAGAGCATAAATCAAAAGTGTTTATAAGTTTGCCAAACAAAAAGTAATTAAATAAACGATCAACAAATAAGCAAAAGTCTTATAAAAAATATATGTTTAGGATGAAATATTATTAAAAATATATTTAAAAGCTGGTAAAATATTCAAACTAAAAAGAAACTTAAAGGAAATAATTAAAAACAACCAAATGTAGTATTTCAAAATAATTTATTACCATTTTAAAAGTATTTCATAAATCTTTCTTACCTTACAAATATTTTTGTCAACGTAATAACTTTAAAAGTTATATTTGCTATTTATTAACAGAACAAAGTTTATTATATAAGTTTTAGGATATACAATATAATAATTGTATTTAAACAAAATTGAACAAAGAATGCTCTTTTGAAATCTCAAATATTTTCACCGGCTTTTAAATAAATACAATCAATATTTCACATATTTTACCCACAAACCAAGCCATTTAATCATTAATAATATATATAAATAAAGAACAAATACTATAATAACTCGAAGAAAAACGCAAAGACAGCAACATTAGATCGAAACAAAAGCAACACCATAGCGACTAAGTGCGACGATCAGTTTGACAAATAGCAAAAACGCATAGCAAAAAACATTTCGTTTAGTGTTTTGTTGCTACTTTGCTGTTGTTGCTGCCGCCTCAAGGTCAAACTTTTCTCATTCAAAAGCGGCAGCGGCGGGCGGTGGGCGACGAGAACCAAACGAACCCCTTAACAAAACGGCCCAGCCCCACACAGCGAAAAAAAAATATATAAAACAACGCTCAGTACGCGGAATAGTTGACAACAAAATTTAGCAGCGGCAGCAACAACAGCAGCAACACACAGCGTAATAATAGAAAAAGCAAACAAAACAAACAATAGAAAAATTGCGAATGCGAAAAAAAGCGACACAAACTTAAATAAAAACTGAGCCAAAGCCCAGGCAATATTCTGAGTGGTGTATGTGTGTGTGTGTGCGGGTTAGCGAGAGCTTAATGTTGCTGCCGTGATCGCCACGAGCAATTAGAATTGCTGCGGGAACAGCAGCAGCAGCAGCAGCAGCAGCAGCAGCAACAGCAGCAACAGCAGCAACATCACAGCGGCGCGTGCGATAAAAAGCTTTTTTCCCATTTCCATTTCCACTTCCAATTTCAATTTCAATTTGTTGTTAATTAAGTTAGCAAGCAGCAG